TAATTTATCTCAAAACCCAGCATTTTAATTTCTCAGAAACGATCATTGCGGGAAAATTGTGTGCTGGGACTAAGATTTTTTAAGGATCGATGCGATAAAACGATAGTTCGAGGAACGATAGAAGCGGGAAAATGTAACATTATTTTATATGGGATGTATTCGGGACCGAACAAAACGGACGATGCATCCGGGAAAACGATAGTTCCGGGAACGATGGATAGAGGTTTCACTGTATATGGTGACTGAATATCATTTAATTCTTTTGTAAACAAACTTTCTACAATAAAAGGAAGCACCAGTTGCTATTTTGTCCTCTTGCCCCCCCCTCCCCCCCAAAAAGGAACTGGTTCAGAAATTCTTTGGCATTTGTTTTCAGACAGTGTATATAGGGTGCTTTGGAGGGAACCAGATTAAATTATAACCAAAGGTGGAACGTTATGAATCCTTGTTATCTCTGACTTCATGCGGAATGTCATGAGCCGGGATAGCTCAGTCAGTATAGTGACTAGCTACGGGCTGGACGACCGGGGTTCGATCCCCGACGGAGGCAGAGGATTTTTTCTCTAGCCTCTGCGTCCAGACCTGCTCTGGGGCCCACCCAGCCTCCTCTACAATGGGTACCGGGGTCCTTACCCGGGGGTAAAGCCGGCCGGGCGTGATGCTGACCACTCACCCCCATCTAGTGCCGAGGTCAAGGAAGAGAGGAGCTATACCTCCGCTCACCCCAAACGCCTACATGGCGTATAGTGGGACAAACTTTACTTTACTTTTTTTATGCCGAATGTCAGTTTCTTCCAACAACCCCAAAGATTGTTAGTGATTTATTATAAATTAGATTCTTCCTTTGCATGCTTATTAGTGCCATACTATTATGGTCAGGTCAATCAGCAGGTTATTGTGGCAATGAAAACTTTACTGGATTTGAAATTATACAAGTTTAATTTCAAATCCAGTAATTTTTCAGTCCTTAATCATCCATGTTTAGAAGCAGCCAGTCATTACATTTAAGTACACTTATTTTGTACAGCTTCTAATTAGGCAGAAGTTTGTTGTACATCTGCCTGTAATGTTTCTTCTCATCTTGTGATTTGAATTTTCTTCACAAGTATCTTTTCCATTTTATTGCTAAAGTCCACAGTTTTGGCATGTTTCGCCCTATGTAATTTCTTGATTTCAGCCAATGTAGAATCAGGTGCTGAGACCCCTGTGCCTGCAACCATCATTGATCAAGTTATCTGTCCTCTTACTCCTTCCAGTGCCTCAACAGAGCAAATGACCAATGTATAATGTCTTGAAATAGGTAGGTATAATGAACCATGCCTGAATCCTCAGATAATTCTTCATTCCGGATCATCTTCAGGTGAAGGTTTCTTCTTGTGTCCACACTGTGAGGTGCAATTTTGGAGTAACACTGTAATTCTACTGAAAAGAGTTCTTCTGCACAGCTTTCCTTCTGTCTGTGTCTTGCTGACTAAACCATGTTTGTCTTTTTGGCATTTTTTTAATGGATTCATGATTTTGCTTCAGATTATTGTTAAACACAGTTTGTATTTTGAATTTTTTGTGTGTGGAAGGTCTCGTGTAATGACCATCAAATATTGGGGTGGTTTGTTTCCAACAGGCAGTAGAAAGTCATTGAAATGGTGTATGAAAATGAAGCACACGAAAAATGTGTTGTCTGACGCACAGCTGTAAAAACAAGATGGGTGAGTGTGTTTTTCTTGCAGATCTCATGATTGCAGCTGTCGGTTTCAGGTTGTGTTCTGTTGAGCTGTCGGGGCTTGTTTATATGGGGTTGCTGATGGGTTGGAAATCATTCATAAGCACTTGTCAAGTTAATTGCTGATGTCCTCATTGTTTCATCACTCTTGCCCTACATTTAACATTATTAACCTGTTGGAGATTATATTTTTGTATCCTTTCCAAGTTCTGCTCGTGAATCCCAAAGTGAAGATCTGTAAATAACAACTTCTACATTATGGACAGTGGTTTTGATTGGCTGAAAGTAATTGGGATGATAGTTACGTTGATTCTGTAATTGGCTGTGATAAAAATAATAGAATGTTTTAGCTAACAGCAGAGGATTATCTGTTTGATGCACACATGCTAGATGCAGTGTTAAGTAAAGTTTTAGTAAGTATGTTGAAATGTTTTTGATGGTGTAAACAGTGTTGTATATTGCCAGGATGTTCTGCAGATTATTCAATTGTCTGGGTTAGTTTAGGAATAAAGATAAATGTATCCGCGTGTTTAATTAAGCACCATGCCATGAAGATGTAAGTGGGCATCTTCACATTCCTGTCTCATTACTCTTTATAATACTGAAAATCTAGGTGAGATTTTAGATTTTCACAGTAATTACTATGAAGATGATTCTTCCAGTTCTTTGTGCTGTGTATTCTTGTCAAAGTTTACCAACATTTTACTGATGCTTGCTGCCTCTGTCATCAGGACCATGATGGTGTAGGCAGCAAGCTCCTCTTAAACACTGATAAACTTCTACCAAACTGCATCACACAACAACCCAGAAGATAATTGTTTTCAATAAAGATTCTAAACTGGTTACTGTATCTACACAGATTTTCACACGAGTTCCTTTTTTTCTGATATTCTCTTTACTTCTGCTGCTTTATCGATGGTGTGTCATATGAATGCTTCATTCTGCTCTCACCTTACAGTTTATCAAGAAGAACAAGAAGTGATCGAACTGGTTCCTAATATCATCCTTAATCCTGGATACTATGATGATGATGCTAGGATGGAGCGAATAGAACCGGATGAGAACTCTAATGACCACATGACAACAAGAATGAACAACAACACTGTAATACAGCCAATTCGGGTTTGATATAGAAGGTAACGTGCTCTCCAGTAGCCAGGCTCACAAACTTTACGGAGATCTGTAGAAGGCAGCTGTGACTGGTCATAGAAATACACAACTCAGCTTGTTCTCCGTAGTTTATTCTTGTGAAAATGTATTGGAATTGAGGATGTGCCTATATAAGGGTAAGGTGTCTGTGAGCAAGGTGATGAACGTGTCAAATGATTATCAGAGGGGATAAGTAACAGTATCTTCCACTTTGTTTCAGTTTAGTATACATTAAGCTGCTGCTCCTTGGGACTGGTTTCATAGTGTGCTTGGTGGGAGCACGATGTTTGGTATGGAGGTTTTATCAGGTGTATTTTGATCCACTGTTTTTTTGAAGAGAATTCTCCCTTTGGTAACTGTTGATTTTTTTATGGATTTGCATCTAATTAATCAAACGAGGATATAATCATTCCTTTAGTTGAAATATGAATAATGTTGAAAAATATGTGTCTCTGTAGTATGGGTGTCAAGTATTCATAATTGATATTGTATCATAAACATTTTCATGAAATGTGAACTTCAGTAATTTTCATGTAATTCTCTTAGAACATTGTTTCCATTGCAGAGTAAAACTTGGCTAAGGGTGATGAAGAGATTTGGTATTAAATTTGCTTAACTCTATAACCAAAATGATATTCTTCATAACATCTTGCAATTTTTTGACATCACTGCTTCTCATCATTCTAAAATGTCACGACATGGAGTAAAATATTTTATATATTGTCATTTTAATGGTCGAGATGGGATTTTTTTTCAGCTACCAATTTTTATCCGTTAAAGGCTCAAGATAACTGAAGAACTTCTCTCCTTTCCTGATTGGAAAATTCCTCCTAGCCTAATCTTTCTTCTGACTGTATATAAGCTGTCCTTTTCTAAACAACTCCCTTCATCCCTGAAGATGGAGACAGTGTGTTTGTCCAAACCATTGATAACTACTTAGAAGCACATAAAATATCTGAAAACTAATTTTAAAATTGCAACTTTTGTGAAATGTGGTGCCATTCAATAAAATTGATGGATGAAACAGGAATTTGAACATCTGAATACTGAGATTCTTTAAATGTCACTAATGTCAGAGAGGAATACAGGCTAGAAACCACAAGAATAAAGAAATACATAATCAGGTACATGGGTTGGTCATAAACAGTATGTCAGGAAACACTGCTCTTTGAGTTTTACATGTCGATTGTTGTCTTTGCATCTGGAAAAGGAACAAAATAACCCAGACCTTCCTTTGTGGATTACAGTAGTATACAAAAATGTGAAATATAAATATTACTGTAAAATAGTCGACGCTTGCCGACGTTGCAGGGACCATCTCTGGCCCCATCATCAGGGTGTCTGATGTGGCATGGCTCACTAGCTCCCACATCCACATCAGATGCCCTGATGATGTGGACAGAGATGGTCCCTGAAATTTTAGTGAGTTTTCACGATAGGACACGGCTTGTATCACGAGGATTTTATTAATTAATATAATCAATCTGCATTGAACATAATATAAGTGATTCTGCAAATGTGTTAATTCAGGAATTTGTTGAATGGTTAATGATTAATCATGTACTTAATTAGTTTTGAATCTCTTTTACGGAAAGTACATTTGTAGTTGTTGTATTTGCTGTCTGTGAAACTGGAATATCAGATAAATAATCCATCTTGATTCTCCAACATTCTGTATTATAATTACTTTATACAAGAACTGTGAATTTCTTTGCTGTAATGTTTCACTTTTTGTTGGCTCAGGAGCTGGGACCGCATTCATTTTTGTCTCCTTTTTGAGTCTGTGAAGTGTCAGGCTCTGACCTGAATCTCAGGGTATGTACAGTATGCTCAGGAGCAGGCCAAACTTGTCATGATGTACTAAGACTTTGTTCAGAGTTATGTTTCAAAACTATAAAGAAGCACCTGAAACTTACAGAAGATCCATTTCCTATCACTTGACACTTTCCAAACATAATACGTTATTAAAGTGTTCGTTTATTATGTACTTCCTTTGTCTAGATTTGGAGTTATGTCCACTCAAAAACTAAGGAACCAAATTTAATTATTCACAGTCTAGTGGTTATTACTCCTGCTTCATATTCAGGTGCACCTTTGTGTAAATCTGCCTACACTATCTCCCCTGACTTACTGTAGATTTTCTCAGTTCCTGTAGGCAGGTGGTGCAGTAATTTACCCTGAGAAAGACCTAATCCTCCCTTATATAATTCAAGAAAATGATCAGTAATGCCTTTTCAGGAAAATATTCCATTCATTAGTCAGAAACTCAACAAGATTTCAAAAATTTTACATGTCCCCAACAGGATGTATGGTGTTCCTAAAGGAAGATGGTGCATGTGAATCTTTTGTGATTGTTTGTATTTATTGAAGGATAAACCATATTAAATGGTTTGTTACGGTCCTATTGAAAAATTGTATATAACTGAAACCTTTTGAAATAATTTTTATGCTGGTGTGTCAATTAATTGTCTGTGTTATTTTAAATGAGACGTACTTCCAAAAAAAAATGGTATTGCAAATAATTTTCATCTTAGAACTTGTACTTATTCAGAGCTTTAAATCCTGGAAAATGTATTTACAAATCAGTAAAAGAAACTATTGCTACACCCCTCTGTATCATTTGTGTGGAAGAATTTTGTAATCAGTGCTTTGTACATCTAATGAAGTACTTGTATTTAATCCATCTGATTCCTGTCAGCCAGTAAAAGACTGTACTAGCTTTTCATGTTTTGTGTGGGAGAATGCATTTTAATCTGTGGCTCAGAAAATGATTATATAGTGTATCACTTGTAAACAAAGGTTCCTGAATCCACTTATTACCATCCAAGCAAAATTGTATCATTCATTTTTTTTATGGATACCCCTTTTTATACATCTGAGGCAGTGTGGTCTAATTGGCAGCTTGTGGGCATTATTCAGCCCATGACCACTTGTAATCAGGCCCACAAAATTATTTGTTAATTTGATACTTTTTACTACAGGCTCATTTATTTGCTGCCATTGTATATTAAAGTGCCACATGTAATTGGCCTTGTGCAAGTTTTGCATATCTCGGATATCATTGTTGCAGGAGCAAATTTAAAATAATAGGTAATTCTATAGTAATTTATGCACATTTCAATAACATTTTTAATTGAGTATGTGCTATAGTAATGTGTTATTTCTGAATAAGTTCAGGGTGTTTCAAAATGATTGAGATGGTTACAATTGGATATATTTAATGCACTGGAGCAGTTCTAAAAATCAAATAAATTGGTACATATAGAGAAACACTGAGAGTATTGTTTATATGTGATCAGTTTGAACACCATCAGTTACATTCATTCATATGACTGTGAAACTTGGGTTGTTTCTGTACGTGTACCAAGTTATTTCTTTGTTTTTAACTGCACTGGTACATTAAATATAGCCAATTGTAATCGTGTTATTCATTTTTAAACAAGATGTATTGTTAAAGATAACTTAAATTTGCTACTAGTTTTCTAAATAGTGCCAAGAAGTGTTTTGGTGTCCTGTTAGAAAATATTCTTGGCCCAAGGGAAGAAAAATGGTGGATCACTGTGGCATGCTTAAAGTTTCAGATCAGCATCGTTCATAATTGGCCTGGTCCTAACATGGTATGATACTTCCCTCCTCGTACCCTTTGTATGTGGATATACATTTACTCCTTTGTAGAAGTGCTTGTTGCAGTGTTTGTGAATCTGTGATTAATTTTAGTACCATCTTTCTAATTGAATTGAATATTTATTGACTTACCAGTACACGATGCTGAATTACAAGGTGATACAACTTGATATAATCTGTATGGTTATTGGGTGGTTTATTTGTGTGGTTAAGCTGCTCCAGTCACTCTTCATTGTAGAATAAATTTAAATTTACTTCAAGTCAGTTGGTATATCAGGTAATGATACATACCACGCTGTTGACTCATTTGAATGTTACATTGTCAGAACAACAGTCTACTTAAAAACTAAAATTTGTGATATTTTGAGAAGCATCTCTTTTAGTGAAGTGTTGTTCGCTCTCAGATGGTGAGAGATTTTACATCCGACAAACTGCTCATAAGAGCAAAATCCTACGTTTACAACATGAGAATGATTTCTGCTATAAACAGGCACATTTAGTTGATTTAAGTTTGAAACATTGTATTGGTTGAATCTGTGGTGTTAAATGTATGCACACATTCCATTCACTATTGATATTGTTGGTGTTCACTACAAAATTATATGCATTTTAAGTAGTGTCAATTAACGGTTTAATTGTTCCAATAAATTTAGGTATTCTTCACATTATTTAATGTAGCATGTGATGATTTTTATGCTGTTAGAACTTCATAAATTGTGTAAAGTGATTGTATATGTGTGACAGTACTCTCCACATCCCACTGTCAAACACAAGCAAAATCAGTGTAAATGTTACTCCAAATCAGTGCTATTAATATTCTGCTATTCTTTGAGAGATTATTTATTTTTCACACATTTTTATTTTGCAGGTACTGTTTTTTGTTCCTTCTTTTATGCTTTCTTTAATTTTATGGGCAGTTTTATGTTCAAAAGTGATATATGAACTTGCAACATTCTAGACACTTGGGTTTTCTCTTTATGTTTTCATAAATTATTTCCTGTGTGTTTCTTCCTGTATTATATTTTTAAAATGTAGGGTTATCTTCAGACTAACAATGTTTTCTTTTTTTACAAAGTAAAACTTTTATGAAATATAATTTGTGGTAGTTGGCACGTGTGCATACAGTAATTGTAGCGTTATGTGTAGTGTTATTGGCTTCAGAGATGAAGTTGATGATGTAAACAAGTCTTGGAAAATGACTGCAGACATGATTTTTATGTAGGTAATTTTGCAACATTTAAGCTATATTTATGCACAATTAATGCATTGATTCAAAATGTGCATCAAACCTGCCTATTGAATTTCAGCTGAAGTGGAGCTATTGTTATATGGTAGTTGTGTTTTAGATCGGCAAATTCTGAGTGTGCCTAATACATTTTGCATGATTTTTTTAATGGTAGAATGTGACAAATAACAAATCAGGGAATTTGATTGCTATTTTTCCTTTTTTTCATTGGAAAATGCTTAAAATTGCATGTTCTGAACATATAGATGAGTTGATGTGAGTCTGCTTGCGTAGCTCAAAAATAAATGGACTTGTCACTACAGTACAATAATAATAAAAGAAAACAATGTGTTCTGATGACGTAGCAAGCAGAAGTAAAACCAAGCAGAATGTTATGCACTACATTATGTGGTTTGTTAAAACACTTATCTGTCCAGTGCCTATATGTAATATTGATAAATCACTGTGCTTTGGAAGAGCATCGATTTGTGTTAATGGTGTTTATGGCAATATTTGTGAACTGCACCATTATGTAATAGTTACAGTTATGATAGCTTATTTGTCAAGATAACTGTTCAGTAGGTACTAATTTCCATAGCTCAAAATACATAAGATCTGCGTGTTTATGGGCAGTAGCTAAGTTTTGTATGGGAATTTGTTAAAGGATATATTTAGATTATAAACTGGTAGAATTTTGTATATTTCAATGCATGTAATTTGCCTTGCTTGGTGAACATTCAGAAATTTAATGCAAGGCTGAGGTGAGTGGTAAATTGCTGCATACTGTGTTGTGAAGGAAATGTTTATGTTTACTGCATATACCACAGCTGCTTTGGCTTTGCATTATATACTTTATATATATATATATATATATTATGTGCAAGAAAAATGAGAGTATATAGCAATAGAATGAATGTATTGTTTTAAAATGTACTGAGTAGTGAATTTTTGGAGATACTTTGTTCTCTACAAATAGTACATTTTGACACAGTACATTATGTATACAAATTGGATTGTCAAAAAGAGCTAGCAGTAGGCACAAATATGTCATATCCGATAAATGTTGGCCAGCCTTCTCTGAGATAATACTGCGAAAGGGGCAGTATATATTGATGCAGAGCAGGGATCTGGTCTGTAGCAGTTTGGAACTTGCACACTAACCACGAATGTGCTGGAACAGAATTGGTAATTCATTAAATAAACTCTAATTTTCTGTTCCATTATTTGCAATTTGAGAATGTGTTTCTGAGTTCTCACTCATGTAGAATTTTCTGATTTTTAAAAATAGTTATTGAAGAACTCTTAACATTTTAATTATGTATCATGTTTTAAAAACCAGCATCCTTCATAGACACCCATTTATTTTGAAAGATTTATATGATTAGCAACTTTAGCATGATGGTTACAAAGCACCCGTCAATGATCTATGTTGTGAAGTACGTGGTATATACTGATCTGGAAAAACTAGAAGTAGCTTTAAAGTAAGATGATTTTCATGAAAACATTGTGCTTTAATTTGTGAATATGTTTACTACAGTTATGGTTTGTAACAAGGTATTCTCTGTGTCATAAGAAAACTATAGAAGCCGACATCATTGACTAGAAAGTTAGTCACTTTTATAGCGTAATTAATTATAATATATGTCATTCTGAAAACCGATCGTCTCATAGGTATGTTTTTCCCCCGAGGACAGTAAACTAAAAAATACAGGATGTATATATATATATATATATATATATAATCTGTTATGAATGATTAGAGCTGTTTTATTTTGTTGCCTGTTAATTTTGCAATTTAGACATGTTTAGTGAATACTGTTGTGTGCATTTAAATAATTTCTTTCAAATTTAACTTTTGTATTGAGAACTGCACATTCTTATCAAGTACATTTTAAATATCTGAAAAGTTGTAAGAACCCTATTTGCACACCTGAACATTGTAGTCTTTATATATTGCATCTGTATCAAGTAAAGAGACATAAATGCATTCAAGCAGTGATTCCTAAACCTTTTCATCCAATGGAATCAGCACCCCAAAACTGTAATTAAATGAATTCAAGATAGTTTATGCAAAAGAAAGTTGCATGATATTATTGCTTCACACCCAACTTAAATCTTCTCAAGTAGCAGCGTAATGTCTTAATATGTTAATGTAAATGATATAATTTGGAATTTCTCCATTCTGTTTTTGGTGGACAGTTATCCATAACAGTCAAAATATTTGCTTTAAAATAAATTTGGCATGCCATTCATTGTATGTGCAAACTCACTGTAGTATGACATATTTAAGACATGAACTTCAAACTGTGAGAATGAGCATATTGTTTTTATTGAATTGATCATCATAGTGTTGGCATCATCATGTTTATGCTTCATTTTTATGTATAATTAAGTATGATGATTCTCAGACATATGTGAAAATATATATTCTGTGCTTATTTTCTTTGGGTTGTGTTATGGGTATGTTCTTCGCTGTATTTCATTGTGACTTGCTTGAATGTGAAATAGAGGTTAACTTTCAATAGATGTCATCACCCCAGGAGTTTACCACATGTAAACTTTTTACTGCTGAATAATGCACAGCCATGGTTAATATAGTCTAGTACTGATATTCATGTTATAGTTAGCACATTACTGGTACTATCTGTCATACTACTTGCATTAGGATATTGATTCGAACTCATATGACAAAATAGCATTTATGTTTCAAGTTGTTACCAACAATTGGCATGAGAATATTTATTCTGAACATTCCTTGCAACCAATTTCTGTTTTTCCACACAAATGAAAATACAGTATTTTCATGAATAAATCCCACAAGAAAATGGTGCCACTGTGGATCTAAATGGCTAATGCAGTGAATTAAATTAATTTTCTTACTTTTATTGTTAGTGTTATTTGTTGATGAGAAGATTATTCCGATGATATTTTTTGGAATATTTGTGTTTTTATTTGAGGGAGTCTAAAGTACTACCAGATTCCTTAATCAGTTCAGAAATAATTCCCTAAGTTGTTAAATTAATGTCAAGTCACAGTGCTTCCTAACTTGCATAATTTATGAAGTCTTTACTGTTCTCAATGGAATATTTTATCTGATATGAAATTTATTTTCTTTTTGAAAATCATGATAACTTCCTTTAAATTAAATCTTTTCTTTTATCCAAAACCCATTTCAACCCAGTTACAGCTTCAGAGACATGTAGTGATATAAAGTAAGCCAGCATTTTGAATTATTATTCAATGCATGCATTTCCTGCAAATTTGAAAACTTGATATGTAACAAGATCTTGTTGAAGGAATTATTCATAATAACGATATAATTTGTATTAATCATGTTTAGAAAGGTTCTCTATCTTAATATATAACATGGTAATGTGCACATGTATTACTATATAAAATATGGACAAAGATTGTAATTCACGGTAGAATGTAGTGCTGTGTTTTATTTTACTATGTGAATATGGGTTCATACATGTCCCCTTTTCAAAACATATCCTCCTTGTGAAAGGGCTAAGAATAAGGAACAGAAGGTGGTGAAAATCTAATAAAGGGCCTTGCACCATGTATGGGGTAATTTTAACAATGTTTCATACAGTTGGATATTTAAAATACTGACCATCTTTTGAAATGTTGTGTTATCTTGCACTGTCGTGTTGTATTTCTTTAGCATTACGTTATGAACACATCCTTGCATGCAGCTTTGGAAATTTAAGGAAGAACAGATTTTCACCAGTGACAGTTGTCTGAAAAAATTATTAAATTGGCAACATTATGACTAGCAATTTTAGTATAATTTAATGTTTTCATATCTATAACTGATGACTCATGTTTGTACTATGTTGGTCTTAAATTCACTAATTACATGTCTGTTGCTAATGTTATAACCTATAGAGTTTTGAGGGATGTTACTAGTCTCTGTTTCTTGCACATATGTTTCCCATTACATCCGTGTCATAAACCCATTTGTTTATTTTTCCTACCAGATGATTTGCGCTTCCAGATCTGAATTGTCGTCTAGGTTTTCAGCTTTTACTTTATCTCGTTTCTGAGATAACTTCTGTATATTATTGAATAATTGATAGACCATTAAAAATCAGCATTATTATATTTCATTGTCTTTTACGGCATGTTTTGTCAGGTAACAGTTTGAACAAACGTGAAACAAGAATGTGTTTCTTGTATGTCCTGACCTTTTAAAAATTGTAATGAACATTATAGACTGAACTAGTAACATTTCTTATTTGTGTTGTTCGCGATTGTTGGGCGTATATGTATAATGGTTTATTTAGTTTGCTGTACACTACTGTATATTTGTTTCATGCTCTAGAATTTTAGAAGCTTTTATGTATGGAGTATTTTGTTACAATATTCATGTTATGTTATAGGTTTTAATTTCTGTAGTTAGTTGAAATTGCCAAAGATAATGCACAATGCCTGTTAAGTGTGTCAGATTTCTGGGGCTGTTTTCCTTAATTGAAAAATACAGAAACAGAGAACTGTGAACCCTGCATAAAGGAGCTTGTAAAGTAAAGGCTGCTCAATATTAACTCTCACTTGTACTCAGTTTGCTTTACATAGGTTCAGTGTGATAAGGCCCTAGTTACCTGGCACAAATAAGTAGAATTTCCCTTTGATAGAGAAATACAGAACTGTGACCAGTAATAATCTTAATGACAGAAACTGGTGATTGTTATTTGTGTGATACTGATTTTTTTTATTGTTATTATTGGGAGTATTTCTATGGTTGTGATTTTGGTGCATAATTACTCTGCTGCACTTCAGCCTTGCAGAAGTATTGCCACTGGCACTACTGTTGCTGAATACCTTTAAAAACAAAGGATTTCAGTGTGGTTAAAGTATTTGGTGTTGATAAAATTACAGCTTGCTTATAAAGGTGATTTTAAAGAATGTACCTAAATGCAATATTTTTACTGTTGGGTAACATCCTTTTATGTACACTTCTGTTTTAACCATCTAGAAACTGAGTTCATAGCAATATTAATGTCACATTATTTCCTGAAATTTATGTTTGAAAATTTGTCATTGAGTAGATAAAAGCAATTCCTAACTTTTAAATGACAAATAAAGTGTATCTTGCTGTATGTTACCAAAGATTCAGATGTAATTAATTCAGATTTGTGTCATTAAGTGACAGGATAATTGTGATGATGAATTGGAAATATATTGAAGTTGTTGTGGCCTGTTATTGTGATGTAGCACACACAGTTTGCAGGGGTTATGTTTTTGAAAACCTCTGATTGGGAAAACCATGATGCTCAAAGCTCAGACCTTATGAGAAAAATAGCGTTTGGGGAACCAAAGCCACACTAAACATGGTACTTAATATATATAATGATTAATAAATATGAGAGCATCACTGTTGATGTTTATTAGGATGACATCAGCATTTCTAGCTGAAAGTTTATCAGGGTGATCAAACACAAGGGCAGCAATCAGTTCTAAAAACTGTGAAAAATACAGTTGGAGTACACAACAGCCCATACCTGTCTGCCCGTCTCAACATCTAAATTGATACTATACTACATCGAGTGAGTTTGTGCACGTGTCTGCACAAGATAGTGAAAATTGTGAGGGGCCTGTGCTGCAGTGCAAAAATATTACCACAGAAATGTTTCTTTGAATAAGCAAAATTGCAGTGCACAGACCCGCAAATGAGGAGGGTTCGTTATATACACAGCACTCGCTTGAGGGGAAAGAAAGCCATGAAGAACTCTAGAATAGCTGTTTTGGGCCGAGATTTGACTTCCAAAATGTGAACATAAGCATTATGACATTTAGTGTCAGTTAATGTTCAGAATTTGAAATTGTGACTGAAAGAAGAGGTGGCATTTTGTATAGTACTCCTGAGTTGCTCTATACAGACGTCCTTTAATAATACAAGACATGTGCTTCCTCAGTTCAAAAATCATAAAATCCTGACATTAATAAGCTTCTGAACATCAAGCTGTAGTCACCAATAATTTAAAGGAAACATATATCTGATAATATTCAGTGTTTCGTAGTATCATTAATTGTGTGACAGTTATTAAAATTGAAGTTGGTTATTTTGTTAATAATAAGATTAAGAGACAGTAGCATAAAATATATCAGCAACATTGAATTGCACATCATCTGTGAAATATACTGTTGCTGGCCTGTTGCAAACTTCTGCAAGACTGTTCTAGCACTACACAGTAATAGTGGTGCAGTACCCCTGATCTTGTGACATTTTTATACATGACATATTAACAAATAGTTAAGGTTCCTTTATTTTTTTCTTGTGTATGTTGAAAATTTTTCAAGCACAGGTTGTTTTGATACAATAAATGTGTTTATGAAAATGATTCTGAAACTGGTATGTGCTGTACAAATGACAGTACTGACCTTCAAAATGAAAAAAATTAGTGTCAGAAGTTCAGTTATAGTACTCTCAATTTATGTAAAATTACCGAAAGCTGTGAACACTTAATAGTGTGGAGATTAATGATGGAGATTGCAGTGTGACATAGCAGTAACTATTATTATATGTTTAATTTTTTACATTGTCCATCTTGGAGAAATGAGTTGGCAACAATTTCATTTTAAATCAATTCCATCACGTGTAAAAGTATTTTGTAATGGCAGTGTCTTACATTTTGCAATATCATAATAAAAGATGAAAGAGTAGTGAAATATTTATTGCTTAGGTGTGAATTACAGCTGAATGCATATTTCGCAGTTATTCCTAGACTATGGTGTGCAGTTGCTCATTCATGACATTTTGTGGTATAAGTAGTGAGATCCAGTTTCCTTTTCTCATGAAAATCACACCAGGATTCCAGCATGAAGAAGTCACCATTTATTTCATACATACAATACAAATTTAGAAGATAGGACAGAAGAAAAAGAACACATATTTGCAGTGACATAGTTGGAAGGTACTTGTGCTATATTTTAGTATTTTTATTCTGCATGTTATTATTCAGTTGTAATAAACTTTCCCATCCTTTGGCCTTAAACATACATTGCACAAGGCCCTTGGTTTGTCACTGCTTTTCATGACAAGACAATCACAATTTTATATAATTATGTTCAATCCCACCTCAAAAAAGACTAATGTGAAAAAATTGAATATCTTATCTAAAATAACTTCGTTTTTATAGCTTAGCAGAAAAAGTGATTACTTACACATTACATTTTTATAATCTTTGTAGCCTTGAACGTTACAACTTAAATTAAATGACTAGCAAATTGACTTGCACATACAGCAAACACAGTTTGTGTGTGCCTATTATATTATATTATATACTATTTGAACAATAAATAGTTTATAAATTATTTTATATAAAATACTACAAAATCTAGTAATGTAAGTTTATCATTAATGAACATCCATGTTTGATGCACAAAGTATGGAAGAGTGAAACACAGAAGGAACTAGTGGCAGTTCATAAGTTACCTGTAACTTGTGAATTTATTTTTGGTCTAGTGTTTCAGTCCTCCATTTCAGTCTGTTATGAAAGTGCCCTGAAATTCTAGTAACAGGTTTTAGTAATGGTGACTGAATTCATAAAAACGTTTTCATTACATGTTTCAGAAATATGACAGTAAGAGTTTGAAATGCATAGGAAAACTAAGATAAAAGACTGTGATATGCTGGGAGAGTTGAAATAGTTGTTCACCACAGAGTAACAAAAAAATTACTTTCATCACTGAATTTTAAGAAACACCAGAGTTGCCAGCTCCTGCAGTAAGTGAATCTTTAACCTCAAGCCCTTGGTGGGTTAGATGTAACTGATCTTTGGATTAGTAATTTATATTAACTCAGATCAGTGCTTAGATCTGTGTGTGGTGGTACATGGTGCAGTGAATATCTTTCCACAAATTGATAATATTGAACTTTAAATTGGAATGTTTTCTTTTTATTCAACAAGATGGTCTCAGCTGCATTTTGAGGTTAGTGTTTGAGTAGTCTTACAAGCCACATTTTAAACCATTGTATTGGAAGAGTTGATTTAGTTCTGAAGCTCACTATAAATCTTAATCCAGTCTCACTAGATTCCTCTTTTTCTCTTCAGAGGTGTAGAGAATTAAAAACTGCCAGCCAGACATTAACACCAAAGTTTAATGAGTATAATTATATGCCATTATAATGTATGACCATCTGGATCCCATGTAAGCAGTGATACGTGATCAGTAAAGGTTAAGAACAGTGTTCATTTCATCAATTTTTTTTATGTATTCCACAAACTATATTGATGAACTAAAATGCATTAGTATTAATATTTAGTTACTGGTTATTCTTTCTCTATATGATTATAAATTGTTTGTGCACTTCTCATATTGAGTGCTTAAACACTGAACAAACAATTTATAACAAAATGTTGATGTTATGGTTATAAATATAAGGAGGTGGCAACCCTGTAGTGTTTGTCACTGTTAATTCATCCAGGCAGTCCCAGGTTTTCCTCGTATTCTGGTGGCTCAGTTTTGATCTTCACTTCTACTTGACTCAACAGATGGCTGTAATCCAAGATTCCAGCTGAATCATTAGGGTCAAAATCTGGATCAGCCTTGATGTCTTGCCTCAGTTCATCTGGACTGAGTCGTCTTGAAACCATTTTACTCCACCGATCCTTAAAACACACCGAAACAGGTAAAGCCTACCTTTCTTTGAATGGTTTCTATGTTTAGATCTTTACACCAACACAGAGGTAACTAGAAAAGGGTTTCTATGTTTAGATCTTTACACCAAAACAGAGGTAACTAAAAACGTTTTTGAGACGTGGGTAATGTAACAATGGCAGTGTTAAATGTTGATGTTGGTCAACACTTATGCCTGACATGGGTTCTTGATGTATACAAACAATTGAGTAACTGCATACAGTTGTTGACACTCCCATATTAATTGTGACATTGTTTCATTTGAAACATAGCATCATTTAAGAAGTTGCCAATTGATATGCTAAAAGCATGAGAAAGGATATTTTTATATTAAAGAGATAACTTGTGTTAGTAAACTTTCACTAAATCATTTGTTAGATTGATTATGTTTACTGAAGTAATAAATTTATATGAAGAGTTTAGGATTAAAGAAGTGATCCGTGTTATTTGTTTCTGATCTTAAGATGGTGGCCATTGTATTGTTAAATGCTTTTATGTTTATTAATTTATATCATAATGTGAATTCATATATTTGAAGGACAGTACATTATTTTTATTTCTGCTTGGTTTACACTGACTATATCAAGGGGTTCTGTGATAAGAGGTGAAAAGTGAATTATGTTTATAACATACCTTAATATTGTAGTGGAAGAGATTGTTGTTACCGCGTTCTTTCTGTAAACTGTGGTGTTGATGATTCCCTCTGCAGTTGCAATGTTTGCAACAAGATCGACAGCCCTTCTTCTGTCTGGAACAATACGGATGGGCGTCTTCGTAAACATTATATAGGAGGATGGGTGGGCCCCAGAGCCACTCTCGGTAGAGTGGCAAAGGAAAGGTTCCTGCTCTGGTCAAGAATAGAATCTAACTAATCAAATATCTATCTTTTTATATAATGGACAAGTGTGGGTTCATGGTCATTTTTTAAATTCACTATTAAACTGAAGGCAGTTTAGATACATAACCATATTTTTTCAACATAATTTTTATTCATTCACTCTTACCTGTTTTCTTATTAACAAAACAAATGAGTGACTTGCAATCAAATATATATTCTTCCCACAAGTTTCACCAAAATATGTGAACATATGTTTAAGATTTTTTCTTCTTCTCTACTTATACAGTTATCTATCAGAAACTGATTGTTGACAGAAAATGTATAATCATATGGCTTTAACTTTGATTAATAAATGCAACGTGTAGCTTATGACTGCGTCGTCTATGTGGTAGCCCAAAGGCCACACCTGTCCTCAGGCCATTTGTAACCAGGCCCATGGAATTATTCATTAATTTGTTCCTCGATACTACAAGCTTATTTATTTCCTTTCCTCTGAAGGATTTGGAAAAAAAAGTGAATCTTATCTTGTCTGCTGCTTTACGTACAAGTACCACACATGCTGTTGACTTCTGAGTTAGATACAAACTGTTGCAATAACTAATTTAAAATAATTATAAATAAGCTTCATTAAATTTTATGAATGCTGGCTGTTAGTTTTGAACATTAGTGTCAGGAGGGGTTTCTCGGCACCTCGAGATCCAACAGGAAAACTATTATTTGTCAAAGGGAAGAAAAAAGGTGGGCCAACCTGGCCTAGTGTATGTGTTGAAATTTATCTGATTGATTGGTTGGTTGGTGAAAATTTTTTTAAATCACTATTTTTAGTTATTATAACCTCAAACATATCTGTTGAATTATTAAAAGATTTGCAAGAAACAAGCTAACCATGCTACGATATGCTTACTGCTTGCTATCTTCCCATCATTTGTGAGTAATTTTCAAATAATTTCATGCCAGAGATTAAAACATTGATCTGAAGCTGCGTTTGGTTTAATGGTTAGGTTTCACGTAATTTACCTGTGTTTCTTAGGAGAATCTTGACGGTGAAAGTTTTTCATATGCTTGTTGTAGTCACTCTCATCCAGATAAATGCAAGAACAAGCATCGCATCGCATGCAATCCTCAAGACGGATCTTTGTCAGGCCAATGAACTTCTTATCTGTAAATAATGGACTACAATGAAACCTGCTCAGATATCCTCGATTATAGACACTTCTTCAAAAATTCTTTATATGAATAATGCATTTATAGAATTACTTTCTGCTTTCCTTGTTCCCATTAGAAAGTTTCTGACTGCTGATTACTAACTTGGTGTTCCACCATATCGTCATATCTTCATATTTCTATCTAAGGTTAACATCAAAAATAAAATTTTGCACAATTACTTAATAAGGTTTAGTAACCAGTAAGTAATGGCCGATGGAAATTTGTTCTTACACATAATCAGAAGACAGTATCTGTCTGTTCATCCATTGGTTTTATATCTGAAACTTCTCATTATATTTTGTTTGTATTTAGTATTGAGGATCTATGCTAAAAATTGTTATGCAGATTTCATTTTGATTTTTATCAATTTAATAAAAAATTACTTTATATGGAGCACAAATCAAAGCTCATAATTAAAGAGAAACAGCTTCTCACATAAAATAAATGTAACACAAAATATATAGTATCTTGTTAATATTTGTTTTAATATGGATTGTATTTAAGGAAGAACAATGCAAACTAATAATAACTACTCAGTGTTACACAGCGAGATACATTTTGCAAGAGTATTTTTTTATCTGTAATAAATAATTATCAAGATGTGGCATATTTAATTACAATAAATATGCCTGTTTAATTTTATTATAAAAAATTGTAGATCTGATATGGTTTACAAAAGAATTTATAATTTTTTATTTCATTATTATTTAATTATATCTTTAATTTAATTGCAATACTGTTTGAACCAAAATTTCTTGCTGGTCGAGTTTAGCCTGGAAACTGAAATTAAGACTTTGTTCTCGATAGTTTCTCTGCAATTTGAAGTATCTTGGCTGAGGGTGGCAGATTTTTCTTATTTTCTGTGCGTTAATACTGAATAACTCTTTAGTGATTTTTGCTTAACATGTGGACAAAACTTTGGATGGATTTTTGTATATCCAATTAGTCCACACATTTATTGGCTGATCACAAATTAAGCCATAATAATTATGTTTTCAGTTTTTTGACAGTGTTTTTAATCTGTTTTGATTTGGCTTTGTGATTTATATAATTAAATGTTTCCTGGGACCATGTGGAATTGGGTTCTTGTTCCTACCACCATTTTGAAATCTCATTCATACTAAAATGTAGTAAAATGGAGAGTGAATTTGCATGGTTCAGAAAAGGTTTAAATTTTTGAGATGGGGCAAGCCAACAGTATGTAGTTCTTGTCTTACTTGGTGGACTACACTGTAGTCGTTCATTGTTGGTCTGTGTGTAGCTCATCTTCTTACTGAGCTGTCCGCTGATTTCTGTTTCACTCTTAACAGAATCCTTCTCTTCGTGACTAGTTTTCAGATGTAAGCCGTCATTTGACTCATGGACCCGTAAATGAAGCTGTAGGATTTGTTGATGTCCAAAATGTTTCTCACATCGTGGACACTGAAATCGTTCTGAAAGCAATCACACAATGCTTTTTTTAATTTAATTTAATTTAATTTTAATTTTTTAAATTTAATTTAATTTTAATTTTTTAAATTTAATTTTGGTTTTAATTGTCATAGACAATTAAATAAGTGGTTTAATAACTACGATACAATACATAGATAACATATGAGATAAAATATTAGTACTAAGTGAAAACAATAAGAAACCAGAAAAAACTTACAAAATATGGACAAAATGAAATATTTTAAATATTATAATTTTTTTGATTCCACTGTTCCTTTGTTAAGTTGTTAACCACCAGCAAAAACTAATAACAAACACTAAGGGGGGATAGTAATAATAATAATAACAATAAAAACGACAACTGCAATGATAACAATGGTTCTGAATTTCTAAAAATGTCTTACCTGCTGTGTTATTGGCCTAGAATTGTTGTTTCATTCACTGATAACTATGTTTACTAATTGGTACACAGAACTAGTAAATAATTTAATTGTTTTCAAAAATAAATAGAAATCGTGTTCTGAAAAGGGGGCAGGGAGCTGTGAGATTAAATAAATCAGTTATGTGATCAGTTATGAATAATTTTTACCTTTCGTTTCTCCCTGTGCAACTTTAGAATTTTTATCTTGGTCATCTTCGCACTGGAATTCGATTTTGTTAGGAATACCGGCTGAAACATCCGTTTTGCCGCCGATAGCCATAATTCCATACCTAAAAGTATTAAATACCGGTAGCATTAATCTCACTTTAATTTTTCCGTATCAGTCTATGAATGAGCTACATGGTTCCAGTAATGGACTAAAGCACGCATTTAAGCAACTTACCAGTTCGAATTAATTAAGAGATAACACAGGCTCTGCTCCTCGTTACTAGGCAACCTCAACGACACGCGTCACTTTCTTCCCCCTTTCTTAAAATCGATCAGTAATCCAAACAGTCCTCTGACATCATCGTGCAAGTACTACTTTGAGGTAACGAACAGAGATTGGAAACTTTTGCCCCTGTTACTTCGATAATCCTGCCTCACGCACAAACATGCTAACTATTTTTAGACCCCCGGTGGGAGATCGCATTTCGCTCTATTTCCTAAAACGTCTGGAAGCTCTGGCTTACAAAACCGATTATTAAACATCGCTCCTGTAATATTTTAAAGTCTGAATTTTATATTCTCGAAAGCATTCGCTGATGCACGCCAGCACGAGCCATAACTAGCATATGGTAGGTTCTGAGATCAGCTGTTGTTCCCCTCCAAAGGGAACACCTGGCTTCAAGGGTTTTTGTCACAGTGGGGGGATGCCAGACGCCAGACACCGGCCCTGCTCACATCAGCCAGAGAATGAACGCTACCGACGTTAAAATCTAGTCTGCGTAATTCATTGGTTATGCTTCTATCCGTTATATTTTCTATTCGTATCGAAAGCGTGTTAAGAAAAGCTACATTTTAGAACGTGGATTAAAACGTTTGGATTATGAATGCTTATAGATCCTTAAATCCATTATGTTTCTTTAATCAGCAGTGCTGTTGACAAATAATACCTCACAACAACTTTCCTTTCTCTTGTAATTCTTTACAAAAACTTTTTTTTATCATTTTAAGCATCCATTTAATGCAAGTTTGAAAGTGTAAAATGCTGAAGTTATCAGATGTAATTATGGTGAAACCAGAGTAATCATGCCAGGGGTCGGAAAGACGAGAAATCTTGGAATATCTCACAGTCCCAGACCTAGTTGCAAGTGGTCTTGGGCCGGATGTGACCCGCGGGCTGCCAGTTATACCACGATGATCTTAGCCATAGAATTAAAAAAATCCGAACTGGAATTTTAAAGCTGGCGTGGGCTCAAGCACCACTCGATTCAGCAAGAATTCCGTTTACTAACCATATAATGCTTGCTCGTTTACATTAGAACATTTCTGAACAATCTGGCCACCATAATTGAAGGAGAGACTTCATGCAGAAGCAATCCGAATGTCATTATCGAATGGTTGGTACTCCTGCTTCGTATTTGGAACATCCCAGACCGGATATCCTGACTGCGGTTTTCGTGGTTTTCCTCAGTTCCTCAAGGAATATTCCGGGATAAGTTGGCCACGACCGCTTCCTTCAATATCCTTCCTAATTCATTATTTATTAATAATTCTACTACTCGACGTTGTTCGCCTAACAGTCTGAGCTACAAAATAGGTCGTTACACCACAAAGTGCAGTGATTCGTACTTCGGTTCAGTGTTAGAACGTGGCCTTCAGTTATTGTTTGTACACCCTTCAGTAAAGCACCTGATTGTCTTTTGTTTCCACGTATGATTTTATTTTATGAAAATGTCGCTTTTAAAGTTAACAAACATTCTTTGCGACTTTGTGAAAGAATTCTGTATTACTGCACGATCTTCATTTGGAGTTGGCAATTATTTGTCCTCGAGGGAGGGGTGTGTGGCCATTTTAAAGTGACCTCGAGCCGGGAAGCCTCGCTAGAAATATCATCTCTTAACAAGTTATTAATCATTATTAGAAGTGTTTCAGGACCTCCGTACGTGCATGTTTTTCAGTTTTTCAATTTTTGTTAATTTAATTATTTATTAATCTATTTGGATTACAGAATGTTCCCTATACTCTTATTATTTATGGAAACGTATAAATTGACATAAAAGTAATTTTATTAGCGATGTCTGAACATAATCGCGGATCTAACTAATGATTTTCGCGGCCCGCGTTTAGCCTCGGAATGTAATTTTTCTGCCCCTGATCTCAAGTTCTGGAGGCATTTATGTATTAAAAGTACAGATTATTTTGTAAGAGATGTTTATAATGTTTGGATTTTATTAAAACCCCGTTATTTTTGCTTCCTACCAGGCAAGTTAAAAGTTAGTAAGTAAGTAAACCGAGATTAAACCTTACTTGGTTGCAAAATCTGCTAACAGTTCGTTACATCTGACATTGAACGACGCCGAGTTCTTAGTCACAATTCAAATAACAAATTCCTTTCTGAGGTATCCCACAAAAGCATAATTCTGTATTAGACTTTATGGCATTAAATTATTACGGAAAACGCAAATAGATAAGTCTACAGACATCAGCCAAGATAAAGATTGCATTTGCTACAGGAATTGAAATTTTAAGATGACGAGCAACTCAGATACTCTTGCATGGGCTATTCCTCTTGCTAGCAGAGGGTAGACTGTCTATCCATGAAGGTCCAACGCTGTCATCCTCGCATTGGAAAATATAAATAACTTCTGGTGCAAGGAATGAATCTCCGAGGTTGGTCAATACAGTTCGAGATTCGGCCGTCAGAAGCCGCCGGAAGCTAGTATCTGTATACTTTATTTGCATGCAATTCATATTCGGTTCTTTTGTCCTAGTTCCCATTTCGTGCGCTGCTTAACCAGGTGTAGCGCGCTACATAATTTCTTGTTCAGTGCAATACGAATTTGATACCGACTTTGTATACATTGTGTTCTGAGATGTGTCGAATAAACACGAAAATAAGAGGATATACGTGAAATGTGTGTCATCACAAAATGTTTGCTGCATTTTTTTAAATGACGAAGTGACGTGATTTTAAGGTTGGGTTCTTTCCGTTTCTAAACATCGAAGCCGTGTGTTGCACGATGTGGCATTTTGTCATATTAGTTGCTGCTTTGCTAGTCTTCACCAACCACCAAGGTAAGTTTTGTTAGTAAACAATACTCTTTTCTATAGAAGGTCGTGTCTCTTGTTGAAAATTCGCTGTTCTCTCAAGCATTATTAACAACTTTATAATAATTTATGGGGATGGGAGTTTAACCAGTCCCCTTCCAGGAAGAACACGACACTGCAGAAGTAAGTGGAGATATTTTTCAACCCCGTGTTATTAAAGATTTAAAAAAAAATCTTTTTAAAACATGTTTCTTGCGAGTGTAGGCCTATTTCTCAGACACCGTGCATCACACTCTACCAATTGAACAATGTTTTATGACCAGCTGATCTTTGTAATGGTGAAAGGTTGTGTTTTGTTTGAGGTGCGGACTGAATTCTCAAATAATATTTACTCGAGCTTCGGCGTCAAATCGATAACTGATGCAAATCTGTGTTGTAAATAGAATACTTGTACATTATTTTGGAGGTATTAAACTGTAAACAAACGTGAGTGCATTCGACTGAAACAAATCGCTCTAACTAACTAGATGGCTTACGGAACTCGAAGGTTCATCACCGAATTAACCAAAGTCCTCCACCGCACCCTGTCCTGGGCCAACAAAATCCACTCTCCTTCAACTCCTATCTCTCATAGATCCCGCCTGAGATTATCCTCCCATCTACGTCTAGGTCTCCCTAGCGGTCTCTTCCGCGAAACAAATTTTCCCAGTCCACAGGCAATTAATTTACTGGCTGCTAATAATTTGTACTGAAACTTTTGGTGTCCTATGAAATTAATTTAAACTCAGATTCTGCGCTGTCAGGCCCATCAGACACGACGCGCGAAATAGCAGCCCGAAGCACACAGCTCACGAATCGGAAGTGTCCGCACTCGGAGAGAGGAATGGTGAAGGAATTGCATTGTGTTCTGCCTCAACTCATTTAGCGTTTATTTGCACACCTCAGACGTTTGCTTGGCTTCAGTCGGGCTAATAAGATCAGTTTTCTTGTTAGCAAATAGGCGGTAGTTTTTAACTGAAGCGAAAGAATCATGTAAATAAGTGATGTCTGTGTAACAAATTCTGAAAAATTTAAAAATATTTAGGATTCTGTAGGGTTTTGCCCGCGGTGTGATACAATAGGGTTTTGGGTTTTGGGGTTTAGTCCATCGTCCAAGGTACAACGTTTCGAAAATCAGATCCGTCTTCGTCTACAAGTACATGGAGCAGGGACACATAATCTGTTGGCTCCCATAGAAACAGCTCGTCTCAACCCCACAGAATCTAATAGAGTGGTATTCAACCTGGGGTACGCGTGCCCACGGGGGTACGCGAAGACATCTTAGGGAGTACGTGAATTTTTTTTAAAAAAAAATTATTTTATGATAAACACTGAATAATCAGTAATGTAATTTATTTAATTTATTTTAGATGTAGATTATATACTACGTATAACTTGAATTATACACCAACAACTTTGGGGGTACAAAGTTGAAGAGAAATTATATCTGGGGGTACGCGAACAAAAAAGGTTGAATACCACTGATCTAATAGCACCTACCACACCCCGCGTGAACATGGTATAATCCAATTTTCTCGTGCAGAATTGCGTATGTTGTCGACACGGTCAAGAAATGTCCCTCCTTTCCGAATCTTCAATACCGTGTTCACTTGGCTTCCTAAGGACTCCTTCCCATGAAGTCTGTTGATTGCATTAAGATTAGCAGCAACCCGACCGAAGGCTGACTTCATCGGGCAGTCCAGCTGCGTTTCGTGCAAGGGAAATCGTTTGACAGGATTTGCTCCGTGCTCTGAGCAGGTCACACGCTGGGAATGCCATAGAGTGTACTCACAATCCGGTTTTGTGAAGATAAAGTTATTATTCTGTCGTATCCAGTGGCAGCCCATGGTTGGGCGGTAACCAAGACAAAATACGGATGACGCATTTATTTGGAATATTAAACTGGAAGTGGATCTTCTCTGCAGACGTGAGAATCTCAAATCCTACTACGCTATTTACCTTCATAAAAGTAATTGAAATCGAATCAATGGCGGAGCTCGAAGCCAATTGTCTCACTGTCCACGAGGGTTATCAAACTATCTAACTCCTTTTTATGCCATGCTCTTCTTACGACGCAATTATTGGCCTGTAATGGCGTTCCAGAAGTCACGGTGGTGGTCTAGCGGTTAGAACGCTGGCCTTGTAATCCTGGGGTCTCGGGTTCGATTCCCGGCGGTGCCCGAATTTATAACTTGTGTTGGGCAAGGCCGTGGTCTAGGCAACACGGAGTTTTCCTCCGTGGCATCCCAACAATTACTCCATTCACACACAGAAGAAGGCAATGGCAAACCACTTCTGGATCATCTGCCAAGAACGTATATGAACAGGTCCCAGTCCGAGAAAAGGATGGAAGGATCCTGTTCATATGGACCTGTCCTCAGACAGAACACTAAATAAATAAATATAATGGCGTTCCATGTAGAATATTAGCTGCTAGCATTAGGTTTGTAATTTGACCAAGAAGGAAATTAATGGAAGCTGGGGGGGGGGGGGGGGGGGGGGTATTTGTTACGTCATCTGATTCAGACTGTTGTGGTCGTGACGTTTGCTGTGGGACGGAAGAGGACCTTAAATATGGTTGTCCTTATAAGGAGGATCTGTAGTAGGAGGTTAAAGGTTGACAACGCTGAATGTAACGAAGTGGAGACTGGTTCACAGAGATCAGTGGCGGAACTAAGGTGATGAGGTGACCGAGGCTGTTGCCCTGGAAGGAGAATAAGACAAATAACAACAAAGAAGAAGATTTACCAACGAAGGCAAAATTTTATTATCTTTCTCCTTGCAGTCAGAGCACTTGAAGACAAAAGCTGTACTCAGTGTGTGTGGAATGTTCTGGAAAAAGTGAAGACAGTAAAAGTTAATTTCAATTTAATCTGTCACTAATGGTAACGGAACGGACGGCTGATGTCTAATAGCGCCCTGGTCTGCTCTATTCATCGTAGTTGCCACACAGCCCACTTACTATTGCAGCTTATTAACGAGTACCCTGAATTTGGATCTCCCGGGTCAGTGGCAGTAAAGTACCAGCAGGTTATGCTAATGACGGAGACACACAGCCTGACCACACCCCTATCTGCCAGTGGTGGATTCGGTGTTGGGTGTCTCAGTTTCATTGACAATTGGATGAAAATACACGTTCATCGAGTTGCCTTGAAGTAAAACTTTAAATTTCTTAACCTACGTGTAATTGTCTTTCGGAAACTGATTATTGCAATACTTACTTGAATACTTGACTTGAACGACCCGTTCTTCAAGTGCCTGAGCACTGCGGGTCCCAACTTTTCGTTGGCTCGATCTATAGACATTTTTGTAGGACTCCTTGGATGAGGGATCGGCCCGTCGCGAGGCCTCTACCTGTACACAGGACAGCACTACATAGAAAAACGCGGACGAGTGGGATTCAAACCCACGGTCCCAGCGACCAAGCGGCACAAGGCCCACGCCTCGGACCGCGCGGGATTATTGCCATAATAACATATAATTATCTCTGCATTTGCCTGGAGGGACTGAGAAAAGCCTCGGCAAACCTCAGTTAGGATAACCGATCACCGGGGCTTTCGAAATTCTTCCCAGGACTGTGACGTTCGGTCTTAATTTCAAAAGAAGCTTGGAAGTGAAACTAGAGTTGGCGTTTATGATATTTTAACGTCACTCATTTGACCCACGATGATCGGAATCTAACCAAAGAGCTACAGCTTCATGGAAGAACTGGACCAGCATGCTGTGCGTCAGAGGGAAATGTCGTTAAAATTCCGTCGTTTGTGTTGGTAGATTCTTGGCCAGACTCACTGCAGCGAGACAGATCTGTTAGGTTAGTCGCAAAGGGCAACATTCTAATATAATACGGGTCTAAGCCCTTTGAATGTCACTGTCTTGTGTCGGGTCTGTATAACGTGCTTAGTCGCCTGTGTCCAGACTGTGTGGCCCACCCAGCCTCCTGTTTCATGGGGTTAAAGCGGCAAGAGCACGAGGCTGATAACTGTATTCCATCCAATGATGTATTGTGGGTAAAATGCTTTCACAGCTGAAAGACGAATGGGGAAGTGGACATATAGCTCCACGAATTTTTAACCAGAGTGGACAACTTCACTCCTCGGCCGCTTTAGTTCGGAATAAAGAACTCCTTTACCCATTTGATAAGAGGCTGGGAAGACCCCAGAATTGGTCTGGGTGTAGGAAAGGGGAAAATCCTGCACTGATTAGCCTGTAGTAATTCTTGGCTCCTTGAAATGTTTTCATGCCCGAACAAAAAATGTTTTCTATTGCATAAATGCGATATTAAAAGGCAGGTTTCGCCTTGCAAATAAAGGTAATTGTAGAGTGTTCATGACAGTTTTGGTGTGTAACTTCCCAATACACACATTGTGTAATTGTTTTTCATCTGTTAAACTTTGCATAAAATTAGATAGATTTCTGCAGTAGGTCTCATTTTATTTGTGTGCTGATGAAATCTTTCAAAATCATTTACTTTCGTAATCTAAAGGTTGGCTTATAAAGTGAGGCTTCACGATGGTCAGAAACGTATAATGTGTTGATGCGTTGGATTTATCCAGAATAATTTTTTTAATTTTTTTTATTGTATTTAATTTTCTGTGTGAATTTAATTTTTACATTCACACTAAACATAATTGCACAGGACATCAGTGTGGATGTTTATTCCATAATTATTAATGATACAAGTGATATTTCATATTTTATTGCAGGTGGTTGTTGGTTGAATGTGCCATTCTCTGCAGTGCGTCACCTGAGGCAGCTGAAAGTGGCTGACATTTCATCTGAGGGCGCTCCGGATAGAGTTACTATTAGCACCAGGTCTTACAGGCCCCTGTTCAGGTGAGTCTTACTACAAATTATTACAGAAACATTATAAATCTTCAGGGTTGAAGATGGAGCCTTCATGTTTATTCAAAACTTTAGGATCTACCTGCAGGTCCACACAATGTTACTACCGAGAAGACCAATCCAACATGTAGTTAGTTCCTCACTGTGTATTTAATTTTTCTTTGGTCCAGATATTTACCTGAATACTTTGTCTTGAAGAAGTTCTAATTTATGTTCTTTTCTCAAAGAAAGAAACTGCATTTTACACTTTTGTAGAATAAATGGCAGAATTGTTTTGTACTTACCTGTCCCGAACTTCATTGTTCTGAAAGCTAGTTCACTGGAATTTTAAAAATGTGAAATATTATATTTTAATTTTTGTAAACATTTTTACATTCTTGGGAAAGATAATGTGAAGTACAGGTTAGGTAATATGAGTATTTCTGCTGACAGTACTGGAAGAATTTGTATACCACACAAATTGTAATTTTCTATGCAGAGACGTGTGGTTACTAAATATAATAGACTGAGCAGTCCTAATGTCAAAGATGATCTCATTCATGAATGGAACTCGTGAAACTCACTCCACATGATGACGTAATTCTACACCTCTGCAACCTCCAAACCAGTTGCCTGCTAGGTGCAATAAATTTATTACAATTACCATCTGTCATGCCCTTCCTGCTTTGTGTGTCGTTCTAGAGGGTGTGTAAGTATTGTAGAAAGGGTTATTTATAACTTTCTATGAAGTAATGTGTGTTCCATTCTCTATTAAATATCACACCAACTGTTTTCATAAAGTGTGGAACTCCATCTTTGGTCCTAAGGATGTTTGAGAACAGGATGCTGTGGAAAATATATGGACATAATAGACAGGATGTAATAGGATAATGAAGAAAATTACATAAATAGTGCAGTGGTCTATTATTTGTGCTGTTTACTACGTGTTATTTGGGTGAATGGGATGGGTGGGTCATGTAGAATGCCTGCAAGACTTGAGAAATAAATGCAAAATATATTTGGAAATCTGAAGGAGGAGACCACTTGGAAGACCTAGACGTAGATGGGAAGGTAACTTTGTAGGCTAACTTTTCAGCCTAAATGTTAACATTAAGAATAAAACTTGGACAAAAATTATGCATAAGAAAACAAAATTTACAAATTTTGTGAAATAATAATAGTTCCTAGGACTGAAAGTTGGTGATGTATTTGTCACTGGATTTGTAGCATAGAATTCCATGAAACCTTATCATTTATTTATTTCAGTTGGGATCTGCCTACGGCAGCACCTGTCAGGTCCACCACGTATCATAACCACCAGAGGGGCTCCGTGAATGGTTTTGGTGGTGAGTGAACACAGGATGTAATTATGCCTAGATTTATTATAGATAACAAATTTCTCAACATTTGTCATTTTACGGCCATTTTTATTTCTCAGACATTGTAATAGATCTCCAATTTGAATATACCTCAAATTACCCTATCAGGTCCCTATTTGTGAATTGACTGTTTTTTGTATTTTGAATTAACTAAGACTGAAAACTTCCAGTATTTCTGATGGCACAATAAAAATGAAGTGTCCAGAAATTTTGGAATATTATGTTGAATAATATTGGTTATAATTAACTCTGTGATGCACGTAACATTTTGAAAAGCTGATGGTCACTCAACTATTTGAGATATTCCCCAGTTTTTATTGGAACTTAAAAATTCTTTGGTCCTTGTGATATGTTTCAGTTTCATACAATGAAACTAAAAGGCAAGGAAGAAGAAAATTATGGAAAAATAAGAAAGATAACTTGATTAGAGAAGAGGACCAAAGTGCTTCTTGGCATTATTCAGATACAAACAATTCAGCTACTGCTTTGTCAATGTCATTGACAGCAGATCACATCGGTGTGCCTGGCACGTGGTTGACAAGAGAAGAGAAACGAAAGCATAGGAAGAAGATGAAGAATGAGAGAGATAAGATGCTTCGTGTTGGATGGAAAGAGAAGGTAAGTTACAATTAAACTTTGTGTTTAGTGTTTGTGTTCTTCATTAAAATCCTCTGCTGTTAACACGCCACATTTTAAAACCTAATCGCATTGTTGTTCTTATATAGGTACAGCTTAGTCATGGCATTGATGGCTGCTAAAACCATCACTGCCATGACCAACTGATAAGGGATGGAGGACCACGCCTTATCAGTTGGCCATGACTATTTATCCAAGGGTATACTGTGTTGTTCTGTGCTGTGGTGACGAGTGACCCACTTAACAATTAATAACATTTAAGGAAATGTATATAATTCGTGAGTTGGCAGCAGTGTCTCCGTACATATGTGGCAACTTCTTCTGTTTACTTAAGTGCCTGTAGAATAACAGGCACTTCAGGTATAGTGGATGGTGCAATGCTGGTATAGATAATGTTTCATAAATAGAAAATTAATTGTGTCCTAGATACTTTTCTTTTAAAATTTTTGTAATGTGTTTTTCTTCTCATAGGAAAGTACAGCTGTTAAGTGTAACTGATCATTGAATAGATTAAAATTTTTGTTTCTGTTTTGCAGGTGACAAAGAAGAAGAAAAAATCAAAGAAATTTAAAGATGAAGTGATTAAGAAAGAAAGGAAGAGGAAAAAGAAGAAACAGAGAGAGAAAAGTATGAGCAAGAGACTGGAGATGAAAAGGAAGAAAGAGCATGGATCAAATAATTTTCATCCTGTTGCTTCAACCTCAGGCATAACATCAAAAAGTAGATCCATGAATAGATCAGAACAGAATCTTCTTCCAGAAATACCTTCATCTAGTGAAATCGCTATTGACACAATGTCAGGGAGGTACAAGAAAAGGGTTCAAGCGAATGGGCTGGAAGTCATAGAGAATAATGATAATAATTTGGAGTCTGTGAATAATGAAATTAATGAAGCGGAATTGTCTGCAAAATTTCATCCTATATTACACACTTCAGAAAATACCAAAGATCTGAAACCACACCTGGAAGGACCAATGAATAATAATAAAATACCTTTACTTCAAATCAAAGAAGATACAACACTGATAGAATATGATAAAATGCGTAAATTTGGTATTACAGGAAAGGAGAGTAAAAGCGAAAGAGAGAAAATATTACCTGAAGTGTCTTCAGTTTCAACCAACTTCAAACATGATGCTGAAGTGAGAGGAAAAAATAATGTAGACTCAAACTCTTATGCAGTGTTTGAACTCGGTAACAGTTCAGATAAAGGTGATTTGTCATGTATCAGTGGCACGTTTCTACCAGCTCCATATGTGGCAAATGCAGAAATCAAGTATGAACAGTACGTTTCATCATTACACAATTATTAAGAAGGTTAACATGGAAATAATCATTGTACTAATACAGATTGCATGAAATATAAAGTGCCAGAATGATAATAATTTGAAGTTTAGTGCGCAATATACTAGTCCTGTTAATGTTTCAGTGATGAATTTGGAATGGCTTTTGAACAGAATTCTCCTTTTCATAATTTACATAACTAATTTAATTTATTATATACATAACACATTGTCCATTTTCTTCAGAGGTTTTCTTAAAGGTAGTGTCTTAACGTTTGTCACCATCCATTAACCAATGGCCCAATTAACTGGAATCTACTGTATTTATGTTTTCTTTAGGGGGAAGTACCTGGAAGCTGAATATGAGTGTCAGAAAAACTACAAGCTGGAGCCTGTAGCTGCTCCTCGACTGTTGTGCATTGAACGCGAGTGGTTAGGGGAGCCACCACAATGTGTGTCCAACAGTAAGAGCAATGTCAGTGTACAGGCTATTCATCCTTACAGCTGCAGGTGTGACCAGTTGTGCACAGTAATTGGGAATCAGTCGGTTTGTTCCTGCTTCCGTGGCTTCAGACTGCAAGGCACCGTATGTAAAGGTATTAGCATGCAGCCTGACCTGGGGCTGTTCTTTCAGAGTATGGACTAAATTAAACTGACTCAACAGTCTAATGGTGGGCTCATGTGAATGTGGTTATTTATTTAAATTTATATGGAAGTGTTAGGAACTTATCTGGGAAAATAAAGTTTCTAATTCAATTTCTGTTTATATAAGCAAATGATAATTTAATCGCTGGTCTAAACACTGTATGATTTACAGTGTCTGTACTTCATAGTAACTTAATGCATGTAGAGGCAATGTAACTCACTCTTTTGTGCCCTGTTTAACTTACCTCAAATTGCTTACCTTCTGCTTTAAAGCAAGCCCTCACAGACATTGTTACAACATTTTCATACACATCCAAGGATTTCTTGACTTGGTAAGCTTTATCATTATTTTCTGCACTTTGTTAGCAGTTTGTTTATCTGGTGATTCATTTGGTCAGTTTACAAACCATTTTGTTCCATAAATAGCAGAAAACCTTTTAACCTACTGAGAATCTGTTGCAGCTGGTCCCTGCGCTTAGTCAGATGACTCCAGTCCAAGTTTAAATTACAGACTGGAGGGAAGAAATTTTGAGGTGTGGTTGAGAAGAACTCTTTTTGAGTAATAAAATTTTGCTGTACAGAGATATGCGCTAGGCAGTTATGACTGGTTTGTGTTTCAGATGTTGATGAGTGCTCTTATTCTAATGGCGGCTGTGAAGTTTCTTGTCGTAACACACCTGGCTCATATCAATGCACCTGCCACTCTGGCTTCAGACTGTCAGCGAATGGCAAGACATGTCTAGGTAATGATGATTTTAAATTTTAAAAATCTTAGAAAGTGTTTAACCCCCTGAGGACTTCTTTAAGTGATACTCTAACTGTCCTTGCAGATTACAATTAAGTGGTAGTTCTGATTTGTATTTGTATTTCTGGAGTAAGTCGAAGTAGTTGACTACAACATGTTGGTTTCTGAGACACATACCCCTGCAATGTTTGACTTTTATTTGATTGCTAGTCACAGTATGATGTGCAAGTAAGGGCACGTGGTTTCGGTTCATGTTCTCACAGCGGCAAGTGTGAAGATGTTTGTCTTCTGGGTTGTTGTGTCATGCTGTCTGGTAGACGTTTACTGACATTTCAGAGGCTTTTGCTGAATCCATCATCAGTGCAGTGATTCTGATGATGGAGGCTTCAAGCACCTCTGAAACATCAGTAAACTTCTACCAGACAGCATGACACAACAACCCAGAAGACAAACATCTTTGTAT